GTGGGAGATAGAATCCGATCATGATCTGTTTTGGGCAAAATTGTCTACAGTTCTCTAAAGACAGAAAGAGAAGTTCTATGGCTTTTAAAGACCCCAGCCAAGTTCTCCTGGTGTTACTCAGTGATTTTTAACTTTCTAGCAGTCAGAGAGTTATTCTAACACAGGACCCTCAATCACCTTGCTAAAGGTTAGTGAGCGGCCAGCTCTACGGACTACTGGGAAGGTAGGTGAATGAAGAACAGAGGAAACAGGGAGAGGAGGAGTGTGAGGTCAAGAGAGATCAACAGAGAGCGAGTGACTTCTCGCTTGAACCAAGGAGACAGAGGTGGCAGTGAGCAGAGAGCACACCACCGCACTCCAGCCTGGGTGACAGGGCAAGACTCTAAAGAAAAGAACAAGCAATGTCTATTCCAGTGCAACTGACCCCTTGAGGCTTCCTCTCGCGTCTTTAAATGTCCAGACAGCTCTGTAACAGGAAACTTTCACCGCCTGTTTTGAGGGCCAGACTGGAAGGCAATCGCTGCAAGGCTGAAGTGAGTCCCTCTCATCAGTGTTAAAAATACCAAGTATATGCTCTAGGCAGTTTATTAGTTCCATTTAATAGTCCTGGTTCCTCAATCTATAAAATTCCCATCAGGGATGAAGTAAGGAATTACCAAGCAAACCAGAACAATCTGATTTTCCCTTAGAGGAAGGAACTTAAGGACTCTCCAGTCTATTAAACAGATCTTGTTGGAGCTTGAAAGGATTCCTGCATATCAAGAGAAGCAGGTAGGGGCCTGCCGGGCTGACTCACACCAGATATCATCTCTGGCAAGTGCTGGTCAGGTCCATTCCCTGTTATTACACTGTGTGTAATTACCTGGGGTCTGCAGAGAGTCTGCTGGGCTGGTTGCTCTGCCAAGCCAATGAGGCTGTTGGATGGGATTCTGCCCCCTGCCTCTCTACCCAGTTTAAGGAAAGGAGCAACCTTTCCATCACCCTGTTTTGTTCCAGTAGCTTTTATCTGCACTCTTCCACCAGATGAGTATTATTTAGAACTGTGGAAAAATCTAAATCTCCCTAGATTTAGGCAAGGCAAGCGGCCCAGTAGCCAGTGGTAACAACTGCTACCAACTCAGACACGCTGGGCACGTGGCGGGGTACTGGCCCTGGCCCTGGGGCCAACTCTGCCACTCATCAGCTGTCCTAGGTCCCTCATCTGTAAAGCAAGGAGGCTGAGCAACGTGACTTCTAAGGTTCCCTTCGGCTTTAAGATGCCAAGTTGTCAAACTGGGCACCTGGGCCTCAGGCTCACTTCCTAAATTGCCAAGATTAGCAATGCCGAGTCATCCCCCTGCTCTGGTTCTGGATAGCAGCAAGCCTAGGAAATAAGGCACGATAGATGGGGCCCTGGTCTCTCAATGACAGGGTGTGCATGGGAGCTAGGAGGAAGGAGGAATCCAGCCCTCTAAAAGGAAGGTGCAGGTGGTGTGTGAAGGGTCAGACACAGGGGTGAGTCCCACTTAAGATACAAACTCTGCAACCTTAGAAACAGACTTCTGTCTCTCTGATGAGGAAACAAGATGTAAAACTAGTGGCTACTTTAACATCAATCATTAAGAGGGTTTCCATTTATTCTCTATAGCATAATGCAGAACTTAAACTTTTGAGAGACTTGTTAGATATCCAAGAAATCATTACAGTCATGTGTGACTTAACAATGGGGACATGCTCTGAGAAATGTGTCCTTAGGTGATTTCGTTTGTGTGAACATCATAGTGTGCACTTACACAAACTTCGATGGTGTAGCCCACCACACACCAGGCTGTGGGAAAGCCTATTGCCCCTAGGCTACAAACCTGTGCAGCATGTTACTGACTTGAATACTATAGGCAACTGTAACACAATGGTAAGTATTTGTGTATCTAAACGTATTTAAACACAGAAAAGGCACAGTAAAAACAGTATTAGAATCTCTACCAGGCACGGTGGCTTATGCCTGTAATCCCAGCCCTTTGGGAGGCCGAGGTGGGTGGATCACTTGAGGTCCGGAGTTTGAGACCAATCTGGCCAACATGAAGAAACCCCATCCCCACCAGAAATATAAAAATTAGCCAGGCATGGTGGTGCACGCATGTACCACCATGCCTGGCCTAGACTTTAGTTTTTGACACTAGGACACTATAACGTTTTTCTTCTGCATCATTCAAAAAGGAAGCTAAAATTAAGCCTTGGTAGAAGTAGATTTTAGTTCTTAAATTATAAAAATCACTAAAAAGGCAGATAATAATTATTCTAAAGAACATAGTTCCAGCCTGCTTTTGTTTCATTTTAATTATTACTCTGTCTCTAAATTAATTTAGAGACAGTCTAATAATAAACCTTTAATTAATTTACAGTCTCTAACAAATAAATCTTAAATTAATTAATTTATTAGAGACTCTGTCTCTAAATTAATTAATTACCCAGGCAATTAATTAATTTATTTATTAATTTATTGATTTCCAGGTTGGAGTTTAGTGGTGTGATCTCGGCTCACTGCAATCTCCGCTACCTGGGTTCAAGCAATTGTACTGCCTCAGCCTCCCGAGAAGCCGGGATTATAGGCGTCTGCCATCGTGCCCAACTAATTATTGTAGTTTTAGTAGAGACAGGATTTCACCATCATGGCCAGGCTGGTCTTGAACTCCTGACCTTGTCATGATCCACCTGCCTCAGCCTCCCAAAGTGCTGGGATTACAGGTGTGATCCATTGGGCCTGGCTTCCAGTTTGCTTTTAATGTCTGAACTATAGAATGGAGTGTGGGTTGTTTTCTTCTTTTAAACATTTCTCTCTGTGAATTTTCTTTGTTCTAACTGCCAAGTTCATTTCAAAGAATCTTTCTGAGTATCTAGCAGTTAAAACAAATCCTACAGATTACACAAAGAAATAGTTAACGGAAGCAGCCAGCTTATAGGACTACTTTTTATAGGACAAGAAGACAGTTTGTTTTAAAATGGAACTTTACAAATCTCAAAGAGGTCTTTCCCCTATTTTTTTAGTTGATAAATACAGTTTCACCTTTTAGCATAGTATTTACTCGATATTGCCAAAATTATAACACTGAAATTAGGAAAAATGCTCAACAGTGTGCTAACATTCTGCACCTCATCTTAAATGGTTTTAGAAAATCTCTAAAAGAAAACTACATAAAAAATGTAGCATTCTTTCTTTAAAGAGGTCTACATGTTACCCAAAAATTTGAGGAGCAAAACTTTATTTAAAAATTAGGATTACAAGAAGGACAAATTTATATTTTCTGTTTACTAAACTAGTTTGAATTCAGTAAGTACAGAAGCCCATTGTTAGATTGTTATCTCAAGGAAAGTGTTGACTCTCAGGAGGAAAAAGTGAAGTCTGATAGTCACAGTTAATGGTTGAAGATTCCCCAAAACAAAGTTAAAGTAGCACCATTGACCATTTTCAGAAGAGTTGTGTGTTTTGATTTAAATTGCTTATTTTTCAACTATTGCATAACTTCTCTTTATTATAGAGGTGATTTGACTACCCAAAAATGTTACCATTAAAGACTTTACTACAGACTGATACTTTTAAAGCAAGACTAAGCGCAGCTTGTTAAAAATTAACTTGATGTTATATATAGAAGGAGCAGAACTGAACCAGCCTATCTCCAGGTAAGACGTCCCTTTGAGATATTTAATGCTCTAAATATACTTAAGCAGCTCTGCCAATGAGCTTTGATAGAGAGAACAGAGGTGACTTGGACAGTATGAGAAGTAACTGACCCGCCAGGCACGGCGGCTCACGCCTGTAATCGGGCACTTTGGGAGGCCGAGGTGGGTGGATCACCTGAGGTCGTGAGTTTGAGACCAGCCTGACCAATATGGAGAAACCCTGTCTCTACTAAAAATAGAAAATTAGTTGAATGTGGTGGTGCATGCCTGTAATCCCAGCTACTTGGGAGGCTGAGGCAGGAGAATTGCTTGAACCCAGAAGGCGGAGGTTGTAGTGAGTCGAGATTGTACCTTTCTTTGCACTCCAGCCTGGGCAACAAGAGCAAAAACTCAGCCTCAAAAAACAAAAAAAGAAGAAGTAATTGACCAAGGAAGTCCCCAAAAAGATGTACATCAAAAGGTGGAACAGTAGAATGACAGGCAATTCTCGATTTTTTGTTTGTACTTTTTTTGCACAGTCTGAACTTTAAAATAATGAACATTCTGTCCAGGCACAGTGCTTCATGCCTGTAATTACCAGCACTTTGGGAGGCCTACGTGAGGCCAAGAGTTCGAGGCTAGCCTGGCCAACAGGTAAAAACCCCATCTCTTCTAAAAATACCAGAAAAAAAAAATTAGCCGGGCATGGTGGTGCACACCTGCAATCTCAGCTACTCAGGAGGCTGAAGCACGAGAATCTCTTGAACCCGGGAGGCAGAGGTTACAGTGAGCTGAGATCACACTACTCCACTGCAGCCTGGACAACAGAGTGTGAGACTCTGTGTCAAAAAAAAAAAAAAAATTAAAAATAAAGAAAGAACATTCTTTTATAATCGTAACACAACATATTTCCTTTTTGGAGAAAGACAATAGAAATAATATGTTAAAGTTTGACATCAGATATCTAAAAAAATTAAAGTTTTATAACGCATTACCAAAGTGTTATGTTAGATTATCTAGTTATGTTAGTTATGTTGTGTCTTAAAGAATTTGCACATCGACAAAGTACCAACTGCATTAGAAAGAAAGCAACTCTCCTTTACAACTCACCAGCGTTGATTTTCTGTTGTTGGCATGTACATAAATATTTCAAAGAATGAACGAAATCGGCGATATTTATTAGAAGTAAAAAAGGTATAAAGATATGCTACCTTACTGGGGTGCTTAGAGACCATTTGCAAGCCCTGTTTAAGACCTAGAAATCCTGTTCTTTATTCTTTATTTGTAAAGCTTTATAATTCTCAAAAAATTTTAGGTGGGTTATCATGTACCTAAAGGTAAAATATAGCTGAAATTATTCTTACCTGATTTTGCATATCTGAATTTGGTGGGCAGCTCAAAGTAATTGCATCACATTCTTCAGCTGGAAAAAAAAAAAAAAAGAAACAAAGTATGATTTTAAAAAGCACACACTCTGTGGTATAAGACCTAAATTTTCTTTTTTTTTTTGAGACAGAGTCTCGCTTTGTCACCCAGTCTGGAGTGCAGTGGCACAATCTTGGCTCACTGCAACTTACACCTCCCGAGTTCAAGCGATTCTCCTGCCTCAGCCTCCAGAGTAGCTGGAATTACAGGCGCCTGCCACCATGCCCGGCTAATTTTGTATTTTTAGTAGAGACGGGGTTTCTCCATGTTGGTCAGGTTGGTCTCAAACGCCCGACCTCAGGTGATCTGCCCACCTCAGCCTCCCAAAGTGCTGGGATTACAGGCGTGAGCCACCGCATCCGGCCAAGAACTTGAATTTAACAGCAACTTTTCTCGGGTGGTTTTCCAAATGCTGCCATGGTCATACTGCCTTCCCCCCCGCCGTCCTCTTACACACAAAAGATTAAAAAATCTTTTAGAGAATTGTTACCATTGTATTCTTGTCATAACTGGAAGGGGAGGGCACGATGATTGTTGGTTTACTGTAACAGAAGATTCCCAAGCAGGTCTCTGTCAAGGCTTGGGGGCGGGGGCGGGGAGGGTATTTATGAAATAAGCAGGATGAGAACACACAACACATAATGCAGGTGGGAGGATGGTGAGTTTCCCATGAGAACAGGGACAGCTATTAACATGACGTCACTATCAACCCGTGAGGTAGGAAATCATATCAGTTATCACATATTGGCTTGCTAGTTTTAGGGCAGGCATTTCTACTTTTGAATTATTTAGTGATTTTCTAGTACTTGTTTATTTCTCATCACATGTTCAAACTGAACTACTTCTTAATTTAATTAACACATTGTTCTAAAAGACCCCTTCCCCCCACCAAACAGCATCTATGTTTAAGTTCAAGTCCCTCAAATTTCTTAAGGTAGCATCAGCCTACCTTACTTCAGCCAGGTGCAGTGGCTCATGCCTATAATCCTAGCACTTTGGGAGACCAAGGTGGGCAGATCGCTTGAGGTCAGGAGTTCAAGACCAGCCTGGTGCAACATGGTGAAATGCTGTTTCTACTAAAATTATAAAAATTATCTGGGTGTGGTGGTGCACGCCTGGAGTCCCAGCTACTCAGGAGGCTGAGGTGGGAGAATCACTTGAGCCTGGGAGGCAGAGGTTACAGTGAGCCAAGATCACGCCACTGCACTCCAGCCTGAGCGACAGAGCAAGGCTCAGAAAAAAAAAAAAAAAGGAAAAAAAAAGTCTAACTTGCTTCTCTTTAACTTCTAAATTCACTGTAACATTTTTTGAATGATCAAAGAAAAGAGCAAGGACACTAGAGAAAATGAAGATGATAAAATCTTGTTAGATTTGTCTATGTATCTACGTGTAATTTTCTCCCAGGATGAATAGTGGCTCAAAAATCAAAATTCCTTTTCCAAACACATTTTTCTCTCAAAAATGTGAACAGTCACATTCCCTTCGGAACAATCAAGCCAGCAGCTTCTATAAGATACCGGGAGTCATGTGATGGAAAATAAACCCCCATCTCTCCAGTTCTTAGTACCTGCAGACTCACAGAAGCGCTCTCAGAAAAGAGCTCCAACAAAACGAACCCCCCAAATCTCTAAAATTGGGGGGGTGCTGCTTGAGGAGGAAGCTCTGCATTGATGCCCCATGAGAAAACAGGTATAATATTAACACATTTCACCTCAAAAACAGATGCTGATCACTGAAATTACACTAGATTTCCACAGCTGATAATTAAAACCGCATTATTCAGAACCACTACCTTCCGGCCAATGTTAAAGGATAGTTTTATACTCTCTGTGAATAAAGTAGGAATATACTAACAGTATGAAAGAGACTTTGTGAAACCATTAATGCTTATTACAAACGACCATTCTAGTAAATAAAGCTGGTCTCCTTAAAACTCACTTAAATGTTGGAGTCCTAGTCTTTTCTTTACAGAATTAAATTACAATTGCTTTTAAGTCTATAAACCAGTCTCTTCGTTAATTCATGTGGATTTTCTTTCCCTGGTAGCTGGGATTACAGGAACATGCCACATGCCCGACTAATTTTTTTTTTTTGAGATGGAGTCTCACTCTGTCGCCCAGGCTGGGGTGCAGTGGTACGATCTTGGCTCACTGCAACCTCCGCCTCCCAGGTTCAAGCAATTCTCCTGCCTCAGCCTCCTGAATAGCTGGGATTACTGGCATGCATCACCAGACCCGGCTAATTTTTGTATTTTTAGTAGAAACGGTGTTTCACCATGTTGATCAGGCTGATCTCAAACTCCTGACCTTCTGATCTGCCCGCCTCGGCCTCCCAAAGTGCTGGGATTATAGGCGTGAGTCACCATGCCTGGCCGCCAGGCTAATTTTTAATATTTTTTTGGTACAGATGGGGTTTTGCCATGTGGCCCAGGCTGGTCTTGAACTCCTGGAGTCAAGTGATCTGCCCACCTTGGCCTCGCAAAGTGCTGGAATTACAGGCATGACGAGCCATGGCACGCAGCCATAAACAACTTTAATGAGAAAATTACCACAATAGCTAATGATAGTATTGGCCCCACTAGTAAGACCAAAGAAAAATGCTAGCAGACATGTTGAGTGCAAATGCAGGAGTAAGTTTTTAAACTTCTAGACATGGTTCATTTACATATAAAATGAAGCATTTATTTGGAGATAAGAAATTAAGCACTTAATAACAATGTTCACTCCAATCTGTTCCTTGATCTAAGAAAAAAATTACTATTTGAATAAGGATAAAGGAAAGACTTGGGTATGGTTTTCACTTTCACGTTACTTATAAATTCATTAAGGTTTTGTAGAACCCAAATTCTAGGAGAAACCTGATGATACTATTACTGTAGTATCAGGTTGCTAAGCCACAATCTTTTTCTTTCAAAACAGGAAATCACACTAAGAGTGATGAAAAAGATCTTGAGCCTGATCACACCACTACATTGCAATGCTAGGGCCACTACAGCTCCGTCTTTTCAAGATGGTTTCACTCTGCCATGCTGCCTGAAAGCAGCTGACAGTCCTGAATCTTGATTTTTCTCACTTCTTTCGCCGGATTTCCCTGCACCCGTGTCTGGTGCTCACAAGTGCCAGGCACCGTTCTCAATTATTTCACTGAATTCTCACCAGCACCCTGGGAGGTGGATGGTAACCTTGCCCCCCTGCTGTGCTGATGAGGAAACAGAGACCCTGAGACCTGAAACCACTTGCTGAGGCCACTCACAGCCTTTTTGGACAGAAAAGGAAGGACACTCTAATGGTGTCATTTCAGGGAGCAGACAGAAGGGTCGGGGGTAGCAGGGAGAGAAGAGGAAAAGAGCTTTGGCCAAACTCTGGACAGGTTGGCCCTGGGGATCTCCCGACAATTATCCACTACCATGAGAACTGCTGGGGAGACCCACGTTAGCACGTGCTGGGCATGCCTGCCCCTCCATGGTGACCAGGATGCCAGGTGCCCCTGACATTCTTTGAAACTAGTTGGATCTGATTGTCCCCAACCCCACGCCATCCCACCCCTCATCTCTGAGTTGTCAGCAGACTACAAGGTAGAGGAATGACTGTGACAATCAGCAGCTTGGCCTCCATAAAGGAACACAGGGGTTGGGCATGGTGGCTCATGCCCGTAATCCCAGCACTTTGGGAGGCCAAGGCAGGCAGATCACCTGAGGTCAGGAGTTCAAGACCAGCCTGACCAACATGGTGAAACCCTGCCTCTACTAAAAATACAAAATTAGCCGGGTGTGGTGACGGGTGCGGGGGTGGGCACCTGTAATCCCAGCTACTTGGGAAGCTGAGGTAGGAGAATCACTTGAACCTGGGAGGCAAAGACTGCAGTGAGCCGAGATCACGTCATTGCACTCCAGCCTGAGCAACAGGAGCAAAACTACTCTGTCTCAAAAAAAAAAAAAAAAAAAAAAAGGAACAGAACCCTGCTGACCTGCTGACCACCCAGCAAGCCAGCAGGAGAGATTAATTATGAAAAGCTAGGGTCTAGCCACCCCATGGGCTCCATCATGCCTAAGTGTATGAGTTATAACGACAGCTGTTTTAGTTTGTTTTGGGCCTAACAAGCATCCTTCACCCCTTTGTCTAGCCACAGAACATTCTTTCCTAGACAAAGTGGTTTGGGGAAAGTCCACTCCATGACCGTCCTCCCCAGCCCGAGCTCAAGGCTCAGACCTGGCCAACGTCCTCCATCCTCCTGATGACAAAAGTCAATTTAAGGATGGCCACGTGACCTGAACTGCCCCAATCACAGTCATCTCTGAAACTGTGCTATGCGTGCTGGTGGAAAGGTTCCCTCTTCCTCCACCACCTTGAGAACACCATATAAAGCAGGAGGTGCTAGTAATCATCCTTCCCTCCATGCAGGAAAATCCTGCTCAAGGCTGGAGCCAACATGGAAGACGACAGGGCCATGAAGTGGAGAGACTCAACCTGACAGCCTCATTTAGATGCTTGGATCCAGCAGGGCCCAAAGACCCCAAAGTCAGTGAGTTCCCACTTTTTTTTTTTTAAGAGATGGGGTTTCTCCATGTTGGTCAGGCTGGTTTTGAACTCCTGACCTCAGGTGATCCACCCACCTCGGCCTCCCAAAGTGCTGGGATTACAGGCATGAGCCACAGCACCCGGCCTCCCACTTTTTTTTTTTTTTTTTTTTTTTTTTTTTTTTTTTTTTTTTTTTTTTTTTTTTACAGAGTTTAGCTATTGTTGCCCAGGCTGGAGTGCAATGGTGTGATCTCGGCTACCTGCAACCTCTGCCTCCCGGGTTCAAGTGATTCTCCTGCCTCAGCCTCCTGAGTAGCTGGGATTATAGGAGCCCGTCACCACGCCCGGCTAATTTTTTTGTATTTTTAGAAAAGACAGGGTTTCACCATGTTGGTCAGGCTCGTCTCAAACTTCTGGCCTCAAGTGATCCACCCACCTTGGCCTCTCAAAGTGCTGGGATTACAGGCGCGAGCCACTGTGCCCAGCCAGTTCCGGCTTTTTAAACAAACTAGGGTTAGATTTCTCACACTTGCAACCCAGAGTCCTGGCTGTCTTCATTTTATGCCTGTCAAAAACACCACAGGAATTTAACGCATAATTTGTCATGGAATAATTTACAGTTTTTAATCAGAAAATTCATTTCGATTGCAAGGTTAAAAGATATGATTTTTAAAAAGAAAAAAATTAATTTCTGAGACAATCATGTCACAAGTCACGAGTTAATCTACGGGTATGTTTCTGCTTTACAATTTTAAATAATGAAAAATTACGTTGAGTAGTGCTTTGTTCACAATGTTAAAATAATCACAAGTTCGAGTCGTTATTTTAACTGTACATACCTTTGGGGAGTTCCGTATCTTGAATGGGATATTTGTCTGACTGTAGAAACCAACAAACGAAGAGAGTTATTTTTAAATGCTATAGTCAATTGTAAGATCAAAGTGAAAAGAGAGCTTTGTCTTGGGAAAGTTACGACTTCAATTAAAAACTTGAAACTGTTTAGCCTCAAACTTATCAACTGGCCTCATCCATTGGTTGTGCTTCTTGTGTTTCTTCTCAATCGACAGGAATGAAATCAAGGTTGACAAGAGGTGAATGCTGGATCATGAAACAGAACAAGCCTTCCGAATTTCCTCGGCTCGGACCACAGAACCACACTTCCTTTCTTTTCTGCAGTGCTAGCCTCCTGCAGTTTACAACTGAAAAGCATTTGTTGTCACGACTGATGAGGACAGACGCGTTTCTTCTCATTGTTTCTGCAACAGTCATTGGCCAATCATGTTCTGAGCAGTACTCACTGTGGCAGAGCTATGGCCTGGGTTGACTGAAACAGGATGATCAAAGGATCACTTTCCTACTGACTGCGCAAAGGTCTAAACATCAGTGATGATACAAAATTCAGCACAGTTCTCAATGCATCCGTTGAGAGTAATAGTGTTAAAGGAATTCAAAATAGCAAATGTTCTCACAATCACATATATTTCTTTTAATTTATTTATACTTACATGCAGATGTCTAAAGTTCTGGACACTTATTTCAGACTAAATAACGTAGCCATTTCTGAAAATGTCCATGAGAGGGATGAGAATTAGCCTAATTTCCCAACCCTGTCCCCTAACCCCTGCTCAGCTCCCAACTCCACTCAGCCCCGGTCCTCGAGCCTGAACAAAATTACACCTCGACAATTTCCTGTAGGTCTCACCATCTCTTCCACTGAGAGAGGAGAAAAAGAAACAAATGGAGAAGCAAGGATTTTGTTTTAAACGCCTTTCCTTGGAGTTTCTTTGGAGCTGGGCAGTAAAATTTCAGAACTTCTAGAAGCCTCCAACTTCTCCCAGCAAAAATAAATTAGTAAATAAAAATCAATCACAGAGAATAGTCCTACAGCCCAGACCAAATTAGCTCTTCTCATCATTCTGCTCCCAAGAGCATGGAACACATACCTGTACTAGAACACTTACCACTCTGTTTTAAAAAAGGCCAGGCGCGGTGGTTCATGCCTGTAATCCCGGCACTTTGGAAGGCTGAGGCAGGTGGATTACCTGAGATCAGACCAGCCTGGCCAACATGGTGAAACCCGATCTCTACTAAAAATACAAAAGTTAGCCAGGCATGTTGGCTGGCTCCTATAATCTCAGCTGCACAGGAGGCTGAGACGGAGAATTGCTTGAACCCAGAAGGCGGAGGTGGCAGTGAGCCAAGACAGCGCCATTGCCCTCTAGCCTGGGTGACAAGAGTGAAACTCCATCTCAAAAAAGAAGAGGAAGAAGAAGAGGAGGAGAAGGAGGAGGAGGAGGAGGAGATGAAACATCGACACCCTGGGAGAAAGAAGATGGCCATGTGCCAATGAAGTGAGAGAATGCAGTGATGCTTCCGGAAGCGGAGGAGCTTCCAGGATGGCTGGCAACGACCACAAGCTAGAAGAGACAAGAAAAGATTCTTCCCTGTGGGTCTCAGAGGGAGCATGGCCCTGAGGACGCCTTGCTTTCAAGCCTCTAGCCTCCAGAACCATGAGCAAATACATTTCTGTTGTTTAAGCCGCCCAGTCTGTGGTATTTTGTTGCAACAGCCCTGAGAAATTAGTAACAGGGAAACTTTGGAAAGATCACTTTGTCTGTGGCATGGAGAAGTAATTAGAGGTAGCCGAGTCCCAGGGTGAGTGTAAGGAGATGGCTTCAAGGGAGGGAAAGAAAACCTAGTGTTAGGAAGTGAGCAGGACACCAGGGAGACCTGGATAGTCACAGGTCGGGGCAGTGGGAAGGAAAGGAAGGTGAACTGAATAACACTTTATAGAAACCAAAGGCTTTAGTAACAAACTCCTCCAAAGAAGCACAAGCCATGGCCGCAGGATTGTTCCTCATTCCATTTTTATGAGAGTGAAGAGACTGAGAATTTTTCGTAGGAATTTCCAGTGGGTATCAAAGCACGATCCCCTATACTGTCCACCATTTACCAACCCAGGAGTAATTAAAGGACAGGAACACAAACACTTCAGGTCCTCAAGACACTTAAGATTTCAAGACATTTAGTTGAATTATATTAAGGGTATTTTATGTTGTTGTAACTAAATTAGTTAACCAAAGCTTTTCACGAATTGGTAGATCCCATCCTCCGAGCATCTGGAACAGAAGGAACGTGCCTGATATGATATGCCCATCACACATGCTGTGCTGTCAGAGGGCACTGGTTGAGCCCTGACCAAGAGGCGGTGCTGGGCAGGAGCATGGGGCTCCGGTCTAGGTGGCTGCACACATCCATTAAACGTCCTTTTGGCATCTGTAGGATGGGGATATCTGCCCCACGATCTCAAAGGATGGTTGGGAGGATCTTGGGAGGTTGAAAAATAATGATGGCAGCCATAAAAAAGAATAAAATTCTGTCTGGGCGCGGTGGCTCACACCTGTAATCCCAGCACTTTGGAAGGCCAAGGCGGGAGGATCACCTGAGGTCAGGACTTTGAGCCCATCCTGGTCAACATGGTGAAACCCTGTCTCTATTAAAAATACAAAAAATTAGCCAGGCATGGTGGTGTGCACCTGTAATCCCAACTACTCAGGAGGCTGAGGCAGGAGAATCACTTGAACCCAGAAGGTGGAGGTTGCAGTGAGCCAAGATCACGCCAGTGCACTCCAGCTTGGGCAACAAGAGTGAAACTCTATCTCAAAAAAAGAAAAGAATAAAATTCTGTCCTTTGCAGCAACATGGATGCAACTGGAGGCCATCATCCTAAGTGAAATAACTCAGAAGCAGAAAATCAAATACTGCATGTTCTCACTTATAAGTGGGAGCTAAAGAATGGGTACACATGGACATAAAGATGGAAATAACAGATACTGGGGACTCCAAAAGGGGGGAGGGTGGGAGAGGGCTCGGAGCTGAACAATTACCTATTAAGTACAATGTTCACTATTTGGGTGATTGCTTTCCTGAGAAGCCCAAACCTAACCATTATGCTGTGTATCCACATAACAAACCTGCATATGTACCCATAGAGGCTGAAATTAAAATAATAATAATAAACCATAAAATTAATTTTAAAAAACAATATATGTGAAATCTTTGGATGATCCTGAAGCAGTCGCCTCAGAATGGTTACGGGAGGGTAGGGAGGTGATGAGGCTCAGGATTAGAATTAAATGACGTAACAGAGGTAAATCCAATAGTGCGTGTCCCTCTAGCATCCAGGCTGCTCCATTACCAGAACAACAGTATTAAAAACAGGCAAGTAGACCAGGCACAGTGGCTCAAGTCTGTAATCCCAGCACTTCAGGAGGCCGATGGGGGCAGATCACCTGCGGTCAGGAGTTCGAGACCAGCCTGGCCAACATAGTGAAACCCCGTCTCTACAAAAAAAAAAAAAAAAAAAAACAAAAATTAGCCAGGCATGGTGGTGCATTCCTGTAGTCCCAGCTACTCAGGAGGCTGGGGCAGGAGAACTGCTTGAACCTGGAGGCAGAAATTGCAGTGAGTGGAGATCGCACCACTGCACTCCAGCCTGGGCGACAGAGCAAGACTCCTTCTAAAATAAAATAAAATTAAAATTAAAAAACAAGCAAGTAGACAAAGTCCTCACATAATTTGAGATCACCTCCAGCATGTGCAAAAGAAGAACAGAATCTAACATCATTTTTAGCCTGGAGAAACCCAAAGCTTATCATTATCACATAGAATATCAAGATAAAGCAGTTTATCTTAGAAAAATCTCACTTTGGGGTTTCCGATAGATGTGTAAAACTGAGTAATAAAAATGTAAAGAAATAACAAAGAAAAAAAGCAAAACAATAATTATTACCATTAGCGTAAAATTTGTAACCTACCATGTTAAAGGATAAAGTGCTGGGATCTGTGTCTTCCACTGGTTCCTTTGCCATGTGATCTGTAAAACAAAACAAAACAAAACAATACAGAGCGTGGGTTTGCTTTAATTTAAAACCACAAATGAGTCCTTTGATAACTGTCTCTATACAGAGGCAAGTAATTTTACTCAGGCTGAAGCAAACTTTACTTTTTTTTTTTTTTTTCTTTAAGAAATAGGGTCGGGCGGGCACGGTGGCTCACACCTATAATCTCAGCCCTTTGGAGGCCAAGGCAGGCGGATCACCTGAGGTCAGGAGTTCAAGACCAGCCTAGCCAACACGGTGAAACCCTGTCTCCACTAAAAATAAAAAATAAATATAAGAATTAGCCAGGCGTGGTGGCGGGCGCCTGTAATCCCAGCTACTCAGGAGGCTAAGGCAGGAGAATCACTTGAACCCAGGAGCAAAGGTTACAGTGAGCCAACACAGTGCCACTGCACTCCACCTGGGAGACAGAGTGGTATTCCGTCTAAAAAAAAGAAAAAAGAAGTAGGGTCTTCCTCTGTAGCCCAGGCTGGAGTACAGTGGCACAATCATAGCTCACTACAACCTCAAACTCCTGGCTTCAAGCTATCCTCCCACCTCGGCCTCCCAAAGTACTGGGATTGCAGGCATGAGCCACCACGTCTGGCTTGAAAACCTTACTTCCAATTATTAGTTGAGACAAAATAAAGAGGAACAGATTCAGACTGCATCAAGAAAGAGATTAATAAAAAGAAACTATAGGCTGGACACGGTGGCTTACACCTGTAAACCCAGCACGTTGGGAGGCCAAAGCAGGGGATCACCTGAGGTCAGGAGTCTGAGACCAGACTGGTCCAAGATGGGGTGAAACCCCATCTCTACTAAAAATACAAAAGCTAGCCAGGTGTGGTGGTGGGCACCTGTACTCCCAGCTACTGAGGCAGGGGAATTGCTTGAACCTGGGAGGAGAAGGTTGCAGTGCGTTGAGATTGCACCACTGCACTGTAGCCTGGGTAACAGAGTAAGACTTGATAAAAAAAAAAAAAAAAAAAAAAAAAATTAAAAATATAAAAAGAAACCATATTTTTAAAAAACCCACCATATTTTGGAACAGATTTCTTATCAATCTCTTCAAATACCCAGAGTTAGAAATAACTACAAACTACGCAGGCTTGATATTAACAACTCTGCTGCATACTGAACTCCATCCTCTCTTCAGCAGGAATGATTCCATTCTGAATCTACTCTTTCCTGATTTCCTACTCTGCTGCAACCCACTTTTATTCATCTTCGCAATGTTGTTTATGTGGGCTAGTAAAGTAAAAAAAATCTTACAGTATTTTTTATCAAAAAAAGGTAATCTTAATAAAAAACAAAAACAAAATAAAAAAGGAATCTTGATTTCTCAATATTTTGTTTCGGATACTTAACCATTTGTTGCATTTAAGGAATTTAAGGGGGAAATACAGAAAAATATACAGACCTCTGTCAGGAATTAGAGAAGTTTCCCATCTCCAAAATGCTTCTAAGACATCTGCCAGAGAGCTGTCTCAACAAATAACCAACTCTATTTGCATGGGATCCTCTAGGCTGTGCAGTGCACACCCTGAAGTACCCTAAGTGGCAGCCCAGGGCCCGCCAGGAGTCAGCATTCACTTTTTATCCAAATCCTCATTAAGGACACATTGCAGACTAGGAACTAGGTCCTAGGAATGAATGCCTTTGGGGGTCCAAATAAGCACAGCAGGACAATCTGTTGAGATAATTTGTGTTTGTTCTTTCTAGGTGTTTCCCTGCTGAGAACGTGTCTGGAATTTCCATAATTTCTTTGCACCGCATGTGTTGATAATGTATGCCAAAGAAGCTTCCAGAAGGCAACATCTGTTTTATGACAGCCTCCAGTCACTGAAGAGAAGTGGGGATGAATGGAGAGAGCCTTTGTCACTGCCTCGCATGGAGCTGGGCACAGACATCTGCAGAGCACGAAGGTGACAATACTGCATCAGAGACAGCACAGAGCAGCCTAACCGCCAGGGACCACGGCCCAGCCCCAGCAAAGAGACCTGTGCCCTGGGTCCAGCACAGAAACAGAGGGCTGCTGGGTCTGAAAGGACTTCTCAGGCCTGGACCAGGAGACAGCAGTGATCCCTGATGCACTAAAAATGTGATGTCCCTTCCTAGTTTTCTCAGCACCACATGAAGCCCTCAGATTCCTGTGTGGCCCTGAAAGACAGAGCCCCAGTTCTGACAGAAATGTGATTTCCTGCCAGTCCAGTGGAATACACACTCAGATTTAAATTTAAATGGATAGAAAGAAAATGAAAAACATACTGTGTTGCTAACGCCTCCCTGAGTTGGCAGAACTCTTACTGCCCAAGCAATGAGTAATGCTACACAGCCCCTTAGCGCCAAGGCAGTGGCAGTGCAGGACAACCAGTGGACACACAGAATAAGCACAGAACGCAGTCTGGGGAGCTCCGGGGGAGAGGAGGAGGGACAGGAGAAGAGCTGCAGAGGGACTGAGGGCTGAGTCTGAAGGATGGGTTGACGGTCAGGAGGGAAAAGCATTCTAGGCAGAGGGAACAGCGCAGGCCGAGAGACAAGAAAGAACATGACACATTAATGTACAGTCATAGCACAGACTATGTAGATGATGGTAGTCCCATAAAGAGTAGATCACCACCAGGCGCAGTGGCTCATGCCTGTAATCCCAGCACTTTGGGAGGCCGAGGAGGGTGGATCACCTGAGGTTGGGAGTTCGAGACCAGCCTGACCTACATGGAGAAACCCCATCTCTACTAAAAATACAAAATTAGCCGGGGGTGGTGGCGGGTGCCTGTAATCCCAGCTACTTGGGAGGTTAAAGTAGAAAAAAAGAGTAGATCACCACCTTCTCACCATCGCTTTTCCATGTTGAGATATGTTTAGATACACAAACACCATTGTGTTACGATTGCCTACTACGTTCAGTACGGTCCCATGCTGTGCAGATGCATAGCCCAGGAGCAATGCACTGTGCCATACATCCCAGGAGTGTTGTAGGTTACACCATCTAGGTTTGTTGTAAGTGCAATCTATGATACTCACACAACTGCGAAACCAACTAGTGACGAGTTTCTGGGAGTGTATCCCTGTTAAGTAACATAGGATGATGCTTCAAATGAGTCCTTACAGCCAGACACACACGTGCCTTCAGCTTTTCAGTTTTTCCTTCCCATCCTTCTCACACACTGGTTCCCGGCTGGGAGAAGCCACCACAAAATAGCGCTTCTTCCCACCTATCACAGCAGTTTCAAATAGTTCATCTTCACTAAAGTGTATCTGGAGGGTATGCTTTAAAATGCTATCCCGCCAGCAGTGTGGCTCGTTAATAGGCATCAACATGATAGAATTTCAGGTAAATGGTTTGGAGTGCTGAGCCAGGGATGGGGTGGGGCTGGGGGCTTTTAAATGCCCCTGACACCATCCTCTGCAAACAACGCCCGCTGTGTCCAGGACAAGTTAATCCTGTTTCCTACAGGAAAATTAGTATGAGTAGGAAAAAAAAGAAAAAACATAAGTGAAAAATAAAAGGCAGAGCCACAAAAAAAGAAAAAAAAAATCAGGATTGAGGATGCACACAGGATGGTTAAAAGCAAAGAAGGAATGATCCTCACTGGCGCATCACCAAGAGCTGGCAGTCTAGCCTTGAACAAATCTAGTGCTGTGACCTTGGACAAGCCTAGAGGTGTGACCTTGGAGAAGTTACATAAGCTTTCTAAGATCAGGCTCTTCCCCTGCACCATGAGGAATCCCGGGTCTCTGGGGCCCACACTCAGCTCATTACCATTATTCTGGATTTGGGAACCACCCAGGTGGATGAATTTCAACTCCCATCAGACTCTGACCGAGTTCTGTGAGGGTTCTGAGGCTAACAAGATACACACAAAAGACAACACAGGCTTGGAGTCACAAAGCCTCTTGCTTCGGTCTGACATCTCAGAATAAATGGAACTTGAGAAAGACACAGAGAATTTTTTGTTTGTTTTCTGAAGCACAGCAATGAAGTGAGAGGGGAACTGGGAAAGGCACTGCGTTTAGAACTGGTATTAGGAACGTTTTCAGGTCTTTCAGTGAGAAGGGGTCTCACTCTGTTGCCCAGGCTGGAGTGCTGTGGCGTGATCTCAGCTCACTGCAACCTCTGCTTCCCGGGTTCAAGAGATTCTCCTGTCTCAGCCTCCTGAGCAGCTGGGATACATAAGTGCCCACCACCACATCTGACTAATTTTTGCATTTTTAGGAGACATGGGGTTTCCCTATGTTGGATCAGGCTGGTCTTGAACTCCTGACCTCAGATGATCCACCCGCCTCAGCCTCCCAAAGTGCTGGGATTACAGGTGTGAGCTACTGTGCTTGGCAATTTTTNGACCAGGATGGTCTCGATCTCTTGACCTCGTGATCCACCCGCCTCGGCCTCCCAAAGTGCTGGGATTACAGGCTTGAGCCACCACGCCCAGCCTCAAGATCAGTTTTAAACTACACAAAATTAGCCAGGTGGCCGGGCATAGTGGCTCACGCCTGTAATCCAAGCACTTTGGAGGCCAAGGGGGGCGGATCACCTGAGGTCAGGAGTTCAGGACCAGCCTGACCAAATGGTGAAACCCCGTCTTCTTTAAAAAAAAAAAAAAATAGCCAGGTGTGGTGGTGTGCACCTGTAATACCAGTTACTTGGGAGACTGAGACAGGAGGAACGCTTGAACCCGGGCGGTAGAGGTTGCAGTGAGTGAAATCACGCCACTGCATTCCAGCCTGGGTGACAGAATGAGACTCCATCTCAAAAAATAATAATAAAAATAAATAAAATAAAAGATAACCCTGGCCACCTTTTGCAGAACAGGTTACCAGAAGGCAAGAGCGGGTGTGGGAACGTAAGTTGGAAGGGCGTGAAAACACCAGAGGAGAGACGAGTGTAGGAAATCAGGTGAGAGAGTACGGTACCTTGGTCTGGGGTAAAGTGAGCTCAAGATATGGGCACCATCTATGCTTTCATTATAGAAAAAGGAGTAAGTGAGTGTCT